TTAAATGATATACATTTTGTGCATTCTGAGTTTAATATGAATGAAATATAATATTGTTAAGTAAACCTAGCGCCAGAGTGTCGCTATGGTAAACAAGTGAATTTTAAAGAATGCATTTATTCTATTGTGGTTTATGCGCTGTCGGCGAAGTAGGTTTAATTCAATCTAATAAGTTTAAATAAAATGCAAGAAAAAATGCGTATAATTTAATATTCCGTACAAGGAAGTCATGTGGTGTACACATCAGATTTTTTTTAGTTGCTTCACAAGCAAAGATGACAATGTAATTATTTTTGGATTGTGACTCTGTAACTTGATTATGTTAAATTAATGCCTGTCTGATCTGCTTTGGCCAACTGAGGCTCTGTGGCGGAGTGGTTGACTTCCACTGATCAGGCACTATTCCGCTTGGTAATCTTTTAGATAATCTTAGGTCGGAAGCCTGCTCAGTGGTACTATATGCTATATATACTATATAAATATTCTGTGCATTGTTAGAAGACATGAAAAATGTTATGCATTCCGTTTAATTTCAGTTGCGTTCAGCCGGGTTTCTTTTATGTAAAATAATAATAAAGTGTATTATATGAAATTAAACTTTCATCTAAATTGAAATAATAATCTTATAATATAGTCATTTATAACTATGCTTCCTTTCCTGTGGTAGGGTTACCATAATTATTTTTGGCATCATTGGCGTCAGCAATTAGTTTGGCGATTTTTTGTGATCTCTATAACGGAATTGTACACATTTATCATTTTGAGAAATATATGTACGTAAAAAGAACCAATGTAAATTCCTGCTTAAGAAACGCATGATTAGAATGTTAGTTGCTTTCAGATTTTTTCTTACAAGAAAAGTCTTTCAGCTCTGAATTCTCAATCATTCTGAAAAACATATGGTACTTACGCATTATCCCGTCAACCGGTGTCGAAAATGTCGGTAATAGTCACTAATCGTCAGTCGTTATTGTGGAATTCTAAAGGACTTGGTCGTCATTTAGTGGCGCTAAATCGCGCTGCTTGGCCGGTCAACTTGATAATGCGTACCAAACATATGTATGTAGTATCACTTAAAAATGCAAAATAATTTTAAAAAAGTTGCTAATATTCTATAAGTTGGCAGTTAAAAAATGGTAAAAAAAATAAAATTTGGCAATACAGTGTTGTTTGGGTACTATCCAAACTTTCAAAATGCAAATTTAAAAATTTGGAAAGTCTCCAAAACATAAAGCAATGAACAAAGAGATTTAAAAATAAATAAATAAAGCATATTTTGGCTATCAATTCATTAATTTGAAGGTTTAATCCTTAAAAAATTAGATAATTAAGAAATTCTGCAAATCATTTTATTGCGAAAATCTGCATTTTATTCTGGTCACTTTACAGTGACACAAATACTGCTATTTTACGTAATGATAAATACATTGATTTCAACAATGCAAGACCACCGTTGGTCGGGGGATAAAACTGCTGGACACAGCGAGTTCCATGTGAGCTCAAATCTCTGTGAGCCCACCAGTGCCGAGCGGTAAAGTCGCTTAGCATTGGTAGTTCGAGCTAGGTTCGTTTTCAGGCGAATGAGCTGCATGGTCGTTTTCGTGGTTTTCTCTATGTGTAACGTGAATACGACCCGGTTTCCCTTAGAAAGTTCTCTACGAAGTCATCCCTCTATTAGACAGATAGCCCTTCCTTGCTTTGCCGTAATTAGAAAACGCACTGCAAGCTACATTTTGATTTTGTTTTGTTTCTTATATTATACCAGAATGTCACCACTTTTAGTTACAACTCCGTGATATATTATTAAGGCTTTAGATGTCCCTTATTTCCCAGAGACGATTGTTAAAATTCATTTTTAAATGCGTCATCTGATTCATTTTCAGAGCCAAACTGTTGAGCTGGCGAAGCTAAACAGACTGGCTTTCTTCCATACTTCACCAATCCTAATTTCTCTTGGACTTTCATATTCTCTTAAAATCTCAGACTTTTGTGTTAATGTGCTCTTGGATAAATTCTCTTAATTTCAAATATCTGCTGTATGATATTAGAACAATATCCAGACCGCACTGAATGAATTTATAAAAAGACATAATTTAATGTTAAACGTTTGAGCCAATATCTTCCTTATAGACTTCAGTAATCAAGTTCACTGCAAGCTAAAATAAAATTATTTCCACCTTGGATGGGGGAATTTTCAGAGGGTGGAAGAGAAAACGAAAGGTATTTAAATATATATAAGGTAAAATGATAAAAAAGTAAAATGGCATTAATTTATTTAAACTAAAAACCGTGGGTTTTATGTATTAAAAACAAAATTTCCTTTGTAACGTAAGGTATTTATTATGGAAATTAAACATAAAATCATAAAACTAACAAAATTTGTCACTGAAGAGGAAACCTGAATCGTCATATAAAATGCAAAATAAAATATTTAATTCACTAATTCACACATTTCACTATTAAAATTTTGCTAAACAAATCGCTTTTTAAATGCTTGAAATGTAGGACGGAAAAAAAAAAATTACGAAAAAAAAAAAAAAAACTTTAAAAAAATGAAAAAGTATATTTCATATGTTTTTCGCAGCGAATCCTCAGAGTAAGTTTGCTTTAAGTGACTATTTCTTTTTTTCTTCTTTATTTTTATACATCTATAGGAATTGAGTAGTTATTTTTATAATTTTCTTTTCAGTACAGAATCAACTATATATTTTACCCAAATTCTGTTAAAGGTCAACTAAATGCAGACTAGAGTTTTATTGGAAAACTGATTAAGCATTTAAGATAAAACACTGAAATTATTAGAAAAATAGCAGTACACAAAAATCTGAAAATGCTTTTTCTCATTTTGAAGTACATGATATTGAAAAAAAGTTAATGCTAAATCAGTATTAATGGGAGATGGAAAATATACAAATCTACTATAGTTGGGTATGCAGCTCTGCTTTGGAAATTTTCCCAAATGTTTCTTCAGATAGTTCGTCACTAATGATCAAATTCATCAGAAAGTTCGACAGTGGTAATCAAAAACTCCATTATTAACATTTTGTTTGACTAACTGTAGAATATTTGCAGCTAATATTTTTACTCTTATGTATGTCTAGATGAGTAGATTCGTGTGTACGAACACGGATATTGGATATGGCATAACATAAAGCTAGGCCAACACTTCTGTAGTACCATTGGTGACTGAGGTATCGCTGGGCGTAGGTAATGTTAAAAGAAACGAGATCCATCATAGGGTCACGAGACATCAGCCCCAGGCTCCGCGTAACAACGCGCGCCCGATTCCCTGACTCTACCGCACTTTTTCAACTGTTCCAAAAGTTATTGTATAAAAATATTAGTAACGCTATATTAGTTTTAAAAAGTTTCAATAACACAAAAATTTAACAAAGTATAAGAAACAATTCTGATAAAAATGTTTTTTCAGCTTAACCTATATGATCTCTATGAAATATAAAACATATTCAAAGTAGGTACCCAAAAACCTAGTTTTACCCAGAAAACAAGTTTTTACCTAGAAGAAACAGTAATATTCAATTCATTCTGGAACACTTAATGGGAAAAGTAAAAATGGCACTCTTAGTGGAAACACAAGAACCAAGATAATTACACACAGAGAGAAGGAAAAAAACCAGCAATGTTTATCGCATTTTAGAACATTTTAATAACATTGAGTAGTTAACCAAAGATAAAAACAGCAATGAATATATAAGGTTTACAAATTATGCTTAATACACAAATAGCAGAGTTACTGCACGGGAAAAACGCAATAATATTTCATTAGTTTCTAATTGTTTAATAACCTCAAACATTAATCAAACATAAGAAGACAACAGAATATTCTTTTAAAGTTTATTCTATAAAAACAAACTGATATTCAAAATAGATATCTAAAAAACCATAGTTTTGACGTATAGGAACACCAGTAATATTTGATTCAGTTGGTTCTGAAATATTACTCAAGTAAAGCGCGTTAATCAACAGAAAATTAAATTTGAAAAGAGTACTGTAAAATCTTAAATAGCAGTTAAAAAATAAGCAAAGAAAGTTTTAAATTACAAAAATAAACGATGACTTTGCTAGTTGCAAATAGTCTGATACTTGAAAAATAAATTTTAAATGACAAAAATAAATGAGGAATTTTCTTCAAAAAGAATATCTCAGTTCTCGAGTTTCGAATCTCAGATGCTCAAGATTCTTCACTCCAGCCGCACTCTTCAAAGTCATGAGTAGAAATGAACCTGTTTGAAGCTCTAATTCGATCCCTGGAGGTTAAGTCCATCTCCTCAATCTTTCTTCCACATCCGTTCTCTTCAATGGACTTTACCAGGCTGCAAACATCAAAAGGATCTGTTGTTGTTGTTATCACTTTTATTTGTTTGACAATGGTCAGCACAAACCCACGATCTTCACGTGGCAAAGAGTCAGATGCGCCTTTCGTTGGGAACAGCTTTGAGCATCACATTGGTGACAGCCCGATTTTAGCTCAGTTCCCCAGTTTTGAGAGAGATCACCCCTGGGGAGGGAACGGGCCCGAGAGTCTCCTCCTCATCTCCCCTTACCATCAAACTCTCGAAAGGATTTTCGCCTCGCCGCATATTTAGAGTGCCCCCCCTGCCACACAAATACTATACGTTTACAAACATTCATGCCTTCTCCGGTATTCGAAGCCTGGCTCTTTGGTACGGCAGTCAGAGTCACTAACCACTATCCCGGTTGGGCGGCTTTAAAGGATCTGGTTGGGATTTGAGACAGTAAGTCTCTGTTCTGTAGTAATCTCAGGTGCCGTTGTGTGATGTCCGCTTCATGCAGCATTTAGTAAAACCCAAAGGTTGTTTTCTGCTTGAATCTGGTTATTCTTATTGTCCTACTTTAAGTTTTCGAATTGACCACAAATTAGGAACTGAATTCCTTCCTTTATGTACGTATTCATTTCGCCTTATGTTATGTTAAATTTACTTTCTTACTCTGCGTTTAAAATAATTTTGATATTTCAGCTTCAAGTAGAAGAAGAAGAAGTGTTAGTTGAGAGAAAGGTAAGCCATTAGTAGATATTAGTAAAATTAAAATAATTAAAATAGTAGAAAATAGTGAAATTAAAATAATTAAAATCATTGCTGTAAACTACAATTTGAGATTGAATAAACACATATTTCATATGATGTTGCGTGGCCCCAACTTGTCAGCAACAGTAGTAGTGCCTGCTATGAACTGTAAATTACACAAACTCGTAAGAAGGGTTTAAATCCCTTTTTATTTCACTTTAGAAACCACAGTTGCGTTCACTTGACGCTCACAAACTACGCCGACCCGGCGGTTTAACAAAATAGACAAGTACAACTAAAAATAAATGACAGGATGAATAAATAACGAAATCACTATCTACGAGGCTCTATAATCGTAACTAATTAACCGCGTTTTAAGATACAGCTGAGATTCAGCAAACTTACTGATTAAGAAGTTGAAAGATTCAACGAACTGCCGAAATAGGCACACAGGCCGAGACGCGCGGTTCTTAAAATTTCTACCTAGCAACCTTGACGCTCGCGATTCAAGAAGCACACTTACAATCTCGTTTCCCTTCTATTTAAACTCAATTTACTTGTGCTAAAATTTGAATACTCTGCGCGTTCTACTACAATTTACATCTCTTACTACAATTTACATAATAAGGGTATTTAGACGAAATAATAATGGTATTTAGATACTTTCCGCTCGACCTTCATCGAAACAAAACAGTCATCGGTGTAACTGAATACTAGTAATGGACATCACCGCTCACTTATAAGATTTTCTCTTGGTTATCTTTATTGATATCCGTAGTTACCTACTTATAGAGCGATTTGTTTCTTAAAACTTCCGCTAGGATGATTGCCGAACATATGGTGTATTTCCGTCAATTTGAAATGATTGACGGGAAAGTATGTTAGTTTTGAAGTGAATAAGCTGTGACAGAAATTTGGGCTAAGAATATCTAATCAGACTTTCGAGTTAAGTTGCTAGTAGAGGGGGAAAAATGGATGATGGCTTTCATTCTGTTTTTAATATTATTTTTAATGTACGATAACAAAATGCCGGTAACATTTAATTATGCACGTGATTTCATTTTACTTAATGTACTTTCGGAAGATATATTTCTTAGAACTTTTGATACAGATGTGGCATTTAAGTTTTATTAACAAAATGTTATTTCATTCCTTTCTGCTTCTTCTCACCACGAGTTTCGCTCATTCCAGAATTTGTGCAGATTTCAATTTGTGCAGTTTTACTATAAAGTTTTAGAGATTTACGAATAACAGTAAGAGAGTTTGGCCTGCGGTCCTCTTGTCTTGCCGATGTAAAAGAAAGTCCTTGGACGATGCTAATACTGATTGCTGTCAGTTTTGTAGACTGAGGTTAGATCTTGTTTTGATAAGTGTTTAAATTTCTGTCGCTGGTTTGGTAAAGCTTGTAGTCTTTGTCCAGGTTAGAGTAAAATTTTTGAATTAACAGTGATTGAAGATAAAAAAACAGCTTGTGTTGAAACTTATTGTTACTGTATTGAACTAGCTAAGCATTTATACTTTCGGTAATACAATAGGCTCCTGATTAATTGGGCTTTTATGATTAACCCCAAATCATGGTTAATTCAAGAGCAGTTAAAGAAAAAGATACACACACACCATGGACAGAGGAGTAATCTATATTACAATTAATAGAAAATTATTAATTAAAATTTACTTGCATTTTTAAGCAGTTTAATTTGGAGAATAAGTTCATTTAATTACGTAAATGAAATCCGCTTTCAAAATAAAGCCGCATTTCAAAACAGAAAGAACAATATTTTGCCCATATTAGTCTAGTATTTCGATAGGAGTAAACGAAAACAGAAGATTAATGGCTGTTGACTTAATTTATTTTTAATGATTTAGCAATTAATTTTTAACAGATGATTTAACAATGTTTATGCATTCCAGATTATGTATAGTTAAATTGCGGACAAAAACAATTCTTAAATACTGTGGCTACAAAACTGACAGCAAGATCAGTATTAGCATCGCCCATAGACTTTCTTTTCCATCGACAAGGCAGCGGACCGCAGGCCAAACTCTCACACTGTTATTCGTAAATCTCTAAAACTTTATAGTAAAACTGCTAGCCATTTAAACCTGCATAAATTCTGGAATGAGCGAAACTCGTGGTGAGAAGAGGCAGAAAAGAATGAAATAAAATTTTGTTAATAGAACTTAAATGCCACCATCTATATCAAAAGTCTACATGTTGTCCGTACTACTGCTGAAACTACCTGCTGTCCGTACTGCTATCGGAACATCAGCAGTAAAATCTCTGAACACTAGTAGTTTAGTCCGAGATTGGAATCCGGCGAACGAACTGGGGTGCATGGGCCTTTTTCATGGGTTTTTCCACGTGTGACATGTATACAAGCCAGTTACCCGAATTAAGTCCATCCTCCCCGAATTAAGTCTTCCATGAAAGTATCTCTCCCCTTAGACAGATAGTCCTTGAGTGTTTCGCAATAATTAAATAAACGAGACCCTGCTGTTATTATATGTATTTTATTCTCCTTTTTGTATTTCTCGTAGAAAATTTATTTTATCTGATTGCTTTTTTAATAATAAATTTTCTCACTGTTTTACAACACAGAAACGTTTTTTTAGATGATGTACGATTAATTCGCCCTCCGTGAATTGGAAATGTATAGTATTCATTTGCTTAATATGTGAAAGATGAGATATTGAAGTTATTTCAAAACTTAATAACTTAATGTATGCGTACAGCACGTCAAGGTGCTTTAATGCACAAAGATTTGAACCTGTGTTTGCCCTCAGAAGCGAGTAAAATACCTATTAAGAGAATAGTCCAGTATTCGACAGTCTGATCAGCGTATTTACGACAATTTAAAATTATCTTCAAAACTTAAAAATACTAAAGATCTGAATATCTCTGAAGAAGAAGTTTTATGTTAATTTAAAGGAGAATACAAGAGGAGTTAATGCTAAAATTTCGTTTTTAATTTAAAAACATTAGAGTGTTAACAGCTGGAATATGAAGATCGCAACGGATTATCAGGGACCTTAGATTTCCTTTTTTAAGTGTTAGAAGCTTTTATATGGATTTGGCTTTCAGCAGAGATTTTCCGAAATCAGTTGAAATTTTGAGAATAGTTGAAACGTACTCAGTTTATGACATCAAACCCTTACGTGTTAAAAGCTTTTCATATGTGGATTCGATGTTAGGCAGAGATTTTTTTTTTTTTTTTTTGAAATAGACTGAAATTTTGAGAAGAATTAAAAAATACTCAATTTATGTAATCAAACCCTTAAACGCAATATTTTCATTTTTAATTTAGTGGTTTTCTGAGCTTCAAAACTAACTGCTGTCCAATGTATTGTAATACTACACTGCAAGAACAGCAAATTTCATATGTTTGACATTCTTTATAATTCGTTATTCGAACTATGGTCTGTAAATTATCCGTATAAATGTGATATCATATTGTTTTATTTTTTATCATATTCTGATTATTTCAACTTTAGTCATTACATTTCGACATTACTTAAATCCCATATGTACAGATTTATATGAAATGTATAAAACGATTACAAAATTTTCCTCATCATTCGATAATTTACTTTATCTTTTGCTATATTTAATGCTACTTTAATTAATTCTATTCTGTATTTAATAAAGCCTTTACATTTGCTTTCTTTCTGTACTTTTTAGAATATAGCAAACATTAATAATAACCCCTCCCTCAAAAATCAAAATCACTGCTTGAGGGCATGTGAATTATTTGGTTGAAAGTTCTTAAAATAATAGTGTATTCACAGTTTTGTTCTATACAAGGATGTCTCAAAATTTAGAACATTAATATGATACTTGTTCTCATTGTAGAAAAGTTAGTGCAGCATCAGATGGGTGGCGCTGTATGTTAGCGTGTCAGGTTGGCACCAGGGGCTTCCTCCTTGAAAGCTGTGACGTATACATATTCAATAGCACTCTCTTGGAGAATTACATCTGAGGAGTCTTCATTCTTAGGCTTCCAATAAGAGATTAGATGAGGTTTTGATTTTACTGGTAAAACTTGCACTTGGCATCTGACGTTCCAGATTAAACACAGAAGCATCGAAGAGAACATGCGCATGATTGCTGAGTTGTCGGACATACATTTCGTGTATGCGATGGTTGATGGTAATGGACGAGTCACTGTTCATACCCGTAAACTCCAGGTACTCCTAATATCAACTTAGAGATCGGGAGGTCTATCCCCGCCTATGAGTGGTATATCTTTTTCATCACCGTACGACATTTATCTGTATATATGTATAAATTTCTCTAATTTTGTAGGACTGTTATTCAATATTCCACTTTATTTATATTCTTACTTAATTATTTCTCTGAATTATCGACCTATATGTTAGACGTATTTTGAATGTAACTGCATGAAATGACTACTCCCCTCCTTAAAGTTATCACAAAATATTTTTTGTAGAGGATAAAATGCCTTACCTTCTTTCTATTTTAGCATATATAGCATAAGTGTACAAATAAGGGCTCCTCATTTTCTCACGCTCCACTGGAAATACTTTAGATTATTGGAAAGCTTTATCATGATAACGCAAATCCAGTTAAAATGACAAGTATCCGAATATTCGAGTGTCTTTGAAAATACTCGGCAATCTATGAGGCGTTGGTGCCAAGACATGCATCACTGTGGATAATCGAAGTATTAAACACTTCTTATGAATAGTATTTTGTGCAAATCAATTGTTCGTTAAACCGCTTTACACTGCTTTTTGCATTGTGTTCTACATCTACTTTTGTTTCTACTCCATTTCCTGGAGGATTACATGAATATGGTTCATACTGATGTTCTCTCCCCTTGAAGTTTGTGTGTAGATTTTTGAGTCATCTTGTATACATTATTTTGTATGATGCTTATGATTTTGTAAACAATACATAAAATATGGGTATCAGTAGTATCATAATTATGGAAATTTTTTATTACTATAGTTCGTGATAATGAGCAATGATATAGGGCATCGAAATTTTGAAGATGAAACTGGAGTGACCGCAACAGTTAAGCAAAATCCAAGTCGCCCTCGAAAGAAAAGAAATCCCAAATCAGTAGAATCAGTAATGCAGGTAAATATATTTCATCGTTTCCATGTTTTAAGTATGTTTGCGATATGCCTGCATATATCAAATTTTAACAAAAGTTTCCAGCCATCGCAAATATCTCGTCTGCGCAAACAGTTCGCAATGTCGTGTTTAATTACATTTTATCAACTAATTTTTGGCATTTGGAAGAAAGAGTCTTACTTTAGAGCACTGTGTTGTGAAATTTGTAAAGAAATATCGTTAAGTACAAAATTTCTGAAATGGAATTATCACGCTACCAAATTAGAACCATCATTTTTTTCCAGTTTTGTTGCAAAAAGTCAGCTACAGAACGTCACCAAATCATGTGTACAGCTTTAGGTTCTAATGTTGTATCATGTGACAATGTGACGATTTAGTACCGAAAGTTCAAAAACAGGGAACTTGACATTCAAGAAGCACAGCTCTCTGGCCGGCCTACTGATGTTGATGAGTCCCGCCTGCGAAAACTTGTAGAAGACGAGCTTACTAAGGAGTTAAGACGTTAAAGCCATGCCTATTAGACGCACTATGTATCGCATAAACTTGACGTACAAGTTGAATCTCTGGGTGCCGCATGATCTGACTCAAGCAGATGAGGACAGACGTGTTCGAACCTGCTCTAATCTACTCAAATATCAACGCAAGGACAAAATTCTGGACCGGATCGTCACTTGTGATGAAAAGTGGATATAGTTCAACAACACAGGCCGAAAAGGGGGTTGGTCTGTGCCCGGTGAGCCCGTCGGCAGCATCTCAAAAAGATCATGCTTAATATCTGTTGGGATTGCCATGGTATTATTCACAATGAATATCTGGAAAAATGTAAAACCCTCAACAGTAAGGTGTGCACCGAAATGCTAGTTCTTGTTGACGCTGCTAAAGACGTCGAACTGAGTTCCGCCGCAAAAAGGTAATATTCCATCAATATAATGCAAGACTACATGTGTCTGCATTTACCGGTTCACTCTGTACGGACTCGAATAGGATCTTTTCTCACACCCACTATACAGCCCCGAAATCGCTCCTTCGGACTTCTTTTTTCACACCTGCAGCTACATCTTGCTGATGCTATCTTCCATTCTGCACAGGACGTCTGAAATGAGATTGACCTGTTTTTGGACTCGCGGCCACCGAGTTTCTGGGCTTTGAGAAACTACCAAACTATTGGCAGAAATATCATAGATTTGAATGGTGATTACTACCCTCGCTAAATGTACTGTTTTCATGTTTTTCTGCATATTACTGCGAAAATATTTAAATCTTAATACATGCAGGCATAATGAAATGATAAAACGCCTTTTTTTATTTGACTTGATGCAAGTTACTGTCGTTCATTTCACTTTAGGCTAAAGTTAGTGCTATTTTTCGTAAGCTTAGATTACAATATTTGACATATGAATTGCTTTTCTCTAATGTGATAAGTTCTCTCAGTTTGAAAAACTTACCGAAAGAGAATGTAGACTACAAGTGTAGAACCCCAACGGCAAAAAATAATTTATCTAATCCAAATCATATCGTAACTACGCATTTCACTGAGAATACGGCCATTTCACCCAAATCATTAAAGACCATCACAGCAACAACAATACTTAAAAATACCACTCCTTTGTTGTAGACTGTTGCAGAAAATGGAAGATGTCAATAAACGCCACAAAACGTGTTCTGATAATTTCTAAATATAAATGGAAGCCATAAAATGGAAGCCGATTACCTCATTGCTCTCATATATATTAAATATTTAAGATTTAAACAAATTTAAATTCTAAACAAATACGTATAAAAGTAAAAAAGTAGAAAAGCAAATTTATATTCTAAAAAAAGGGAAAAAGCCAAAATAATTAAAAATATGCAAACATGTAAAAGATTTTAATTCTCGAACTAAACTTACCGAAAGAGAATGTAGACTACAAGTGTAGAACCCCAACGGCAAAAAATAATTTATCTAATCCAAATCATATCGTAACTACGCATTTCACTGAGAATACGGCCATTGCACCCAAATCATTAAAGACCATCACAGCAACAACAATACTTAAAAATACCACTCCTTTGTTGTAGACTGGAATAGAGGAATTCCTATGGGAGCAAACAGTTCTACACAAATTTGTAACCTATTTCTTTTTACATTTGAATATAAATTCCAACTCAGTTTAAATAAAAATGAATTAAAGCTATTTGCTCATACTTTTAGATACATAGATGATATTATAACTTTCAATAATAATTCTACTTTTGAGAAATTCAAAATTTACCCAAATAGTTTAACACTTAATAAAACGAATACGAATCAAGATACTATTGAATTCCTAGACCTGCAAATTATTAAACACAACAAAAATTAAATTATTTGATAAAAGAAGGAATTTCCATTTTCCTACTATTAAACTAATTAATTGGAACTCTAATATCTCTAGAAAAGTAATAGAAAACAAGTTTCATAGCCAAATTATCAGAATAAAAAATATATGTACTGAAAATGACGATTTAAAGGAAGAAATCATAAAACTAATTAATGTATAAGTTGATAACCAAGTACCACCAAAATTTATTAATTTATATTAAAAAGGCAGGTCTTAACTTTACTTTATAATTTTTTGGCTCTTTTGGATATGATAACATTACCTTAAACCTTAACTGGAGGGTAATGAAGGATATAAAAGAGCAGAGAAATTATTGTAAATTTTTATTGTAAATATTTTGTAAATATGTATATTTAATCAATACTGGATTCTTTCCTTTTACTAATAAAGGGCCAACTCTTTTTAAAAGTCTCAATTATAGTCCGAATTGAGTAAAGATTTTAATCTTCTTCTTCCAATTTTCCATACTTTAGCCAGCCAGTATTTAGTTAAGTTTTTGATATACCAATTAAATCAAGTTCATTAAACTTTTAATATTTTCTTTCATCAAATTTAAGTTTTATTTAACTTCCTAAAGGAATTTTTGAGAAATTTCTGGGAATTTTTAGAGGTTTTTTAAGGACTTCATTTCAAAAATATTTTGGGAAATTTTACTTTAAAACTTTAATATTAAAACATTACTTTAATTTTTTGCAATTTTCACACAAAATATCTTTCACTTAATTTTTTTTAACAATTTTCACAATTTTTCAACAGAACACACATTTCAAATTACATACAGTTTACATTTTTTCACATACCACTTCACTTTAATTTCCCTTCAGCAAACATACATCTCTTGATTGGCTCAGTTACTTAACTCCCTAAATAATTAATATTACTACCTTAGGATTTTAAATTTTTTTAATTTAATTAATATTAATATTTGCAAAACATTTTTACTATAACAAAGACACTCAACCTGACACTCAACTTTACCTACATAAGTAACCATCTATATAATTTGAAGAACACACTTACTTCTCTTTCACAACACTTTTGCAGACCCCAACACTCATATAGTAGGTAAGTTAGAATTAAAACTTACTATTTACTTGTTTTAAGTATTTTTTTAAAAAAAATTTTTATGTAGTATCTAAGTATTTTCTAAATATGAAATTATATTTTTAAATATATATTTATTTTAAAAATTGTGAATTAGTTCTTTTTGTTACTTTTTGTTTTTATTGGTTTATATATGGATTATGTATAGTTCTTTTATAGTTTCTTTTTATTGATATGCATATTCATGTAGGGGAAGTTTTCTGTAGACAAGGATTTCTAAAATACATTGGTTTCTAAATTTTTATTATTTTATAAAAAATTAATTTTTAAAAAATTTAATTTTTTAAGAAAAAGTTTAATTCTTGACTTTACTTGCTTGTTTCTCAAAAGACTTAATTAGTATTTCCTTTTTGAACTTTAATTCTTAAATGTTAATACTTAAATGTTAATTTCTAAGGGTACAACTTTATTGGAATTACTTTTGGTTTTGACTTTTACCCTTGAATGCATGAATGACGAAACACGAATTGAATGATTGGAGAGTTAGGTTTGGAGGCAACTTCCCCTTGATAAGTCTGTCTCCTGCCTACTCTACGATCATTCACATGCATTTTTTTAAAAAATTGTTTAATTTAATTTTAATTTATTAAATTAGTAGATTTATTTTCATGGATAGATTTTACACTTATGCTTCTGAATTTAAATGATATTGTAGATTAGTTCGAGAATTAAATCTTTTACATGTTTGCATATTTTTAATTATTTTGGCTTTTTTCCTTTTTTTAGAATTTAAATTTGCTTTTCTACTTTTTTACTTTTATACGTATTTGTTTAGAATTTAAATTTGTCTAAATTTAAATTTCATTCCTTGCACAATGGCGCAAAGAATATTTAATTAAATATGTATTTAAATTTAATTTTTTTAATTAAACTCAATTTATTCTTTTGAAACAATTAAATATTTAAGAGTTATTTTGAATAAAAAAAATTGGCATTGGAAAGGCATATGAACACAAAGGCCATAAATTACTTATGGGTGTTTAATTCATTAATAAGACGAAGGTCGAATTTGAATATCGATACCAAAGTTAATTTAAAAATAGTAATCAAAGTGATTTTGCCCTTTTTGTCTGTCCCAGTGTAGGCACCTTCTGCGAAAAATCTTAGAAATCAACAAAAGTTTCAGAATAAGGCTTTTAGGGTTGTCGCAAATGCTCTTTTGTTTTCCCAGGAATTCCGTAATTCATTAGCATTTTAAAATTATTTTCATCAATAATGGCACTTTGAATTTAATTTCAAGTTTATGCTTTTCACAACTCTGAGAATTATCATTCCAATATCATTAACTTCTCGGAAGGTAAGACCCGCTGGTCATAAATCAGTATCAGGCGGCCTAAGGAATAATTTTCATTAACGAAAATGGTAGGTATTTCTCACTTTGATAGCAGCACTTCTCCTTGTTTCTAATTTAAAAAAAAAAATTCTCAAAGGGCTGATTAAGAAACACGTAATGGCGAAATGCATCTGTACTTATCCAGTATGATTCATTTTGCTTTGGTACATTTATCATTAAATTAAAGGAAATCCATCTCTTTGGAATAATCTGTCATTCTTTTTATATATTTTGGACCGAACCAAAGAATAAATTGAAAATATTGTTAAAACTTTTATTGCTGAATCAGGACTGGACTGTATATACATAATTCTTTTCTGACAATGAGAAAATCTTGGATAATTGGAGTTATACTGTATATACATGTAAAAAAAATTAATTCACTTCTTTGCAATTTAATTTTATTCACAATTAAAGTTTGCACATGAACTATTATTAAATTCAAATAATTTAGTAACTCTCTAAAGCTGCATGCCTAGGATTTCTCTTGTAATCTTCAAGCTTTTTTCTTCCTTTTAAAATCATCATTTCCATTCTGAAATGTAAAGTATAATTATGAACTTCAAAAAGACTGAATTAGGGAATAAGCAATTATGAGCAGAAGTTTCTCTGAATCTTTCATATCTTTGCGTATTTATTTCGTCATTTTGAAATGTTTGATATTAGAAGCGAAAAAAAAGTTGTTGTTGGATAAGTTGTAAAGATTCTGTACTGTGTACTTCTAAGTTACAGTTGAATGTGATGAATCTTAAGAACTAGTAAGCGAATAATCGCTTGAGTTCGTGGAGTAGAAAACAACAAGTGAGAAGGGTAAAATAACCATTTATTATTCCAACTAAAGTTTAATAGAACTCCGTTTTGGAGTTGTACAATAAACCCGACACTCGGGCTTGAACTTAAGAAACTAAGAATTAAACTAAACTAATCTTAACTAAAGGAGATATAGCCGAGAAGTTTGATAGCTTCGCTATCGCTTAACGCTAATTGACTGCGAAGCTATCAAGGGCTTAAAGTACGGCCGAGCGTAATAATAGCTTAAGAGAGAGTAGCCTATAAAGGCAGACGCGTCCTGACCAGAATCTCTGGTTCTCTCTAAGACAATAGAACTTCGCGGTTAAATACCGCTCTTCCTCGATTTGCATTCAAACGTGATTCTAAAACTACGCTCTGGCCGGAAGTGATAAGTTGAAATTACGAAGCGATAGGAAAGGAAGTTTAACTCAAAATTTAACTGTTAATAAAATTAACATAATCCTTACATAGTATATGACATTTATCAAAATAAATACTTCCATCTATCTCTATCACAAAGAGAATAGTCTATTACAAATAAATAGCAAATGTGAAAATAATTAATGATAGGTTATATGTACAACAGTATTCAATTTAATAAAAAAAAGGAGACTTCTTTTTTTTTCTCGTTTTGATGAAATATTAAATTATATTTAAATAATTCAGGAGAGATGAAAACTGAATTATCTTCATTAACATTTTGTGTTAAATTTCAGTCACAGGAAAAGAGGAGGAGGTCTGAAAGACAAAGAAAACAAAAAAATTTGGACTTGAAAAAATCCTGTTGCAGTTCAAGGTCCACATCAGATGTCAATACCTCAGTAAGTGCTATTTATTATATAAAATTTTAAGTCACTTTGAATTGAATAAAAAATAAATAGAAAAAATGCTACATTTTCAAGTTTCGAAAAGATATTTGACTTCATTAATATTGTTTTTAGTATATGGATTAAGATTCAGTTACAAATCACAGTTTTCTTTTAGAGTACTTCAAAGCGTAAGAAAACAGCTAACGCCAGCAGGAAAAAAAGACCTAATAAGAAGGCTCAGCAGTCATCCAAAAGGTGGATATTTTAAATAATCAAAAACTTATACTTTGAGTATTTCATTTCACATCTTAATGGAAAGTATGGCAAAATAAATTTTAATTTAAAAACCTTTTTTTTTTTTTTTTTTTTTGTCAGGCAAAAGGTATCAGCCTCTTTCTTCGATGATATCCAGCAAGGATATCCTAACAATAAAGTAAGAAATATGCATTTTGGCTTATTTCAATTCTTGAAATAGTGCTTATAAATTCTTGAAAAAATTGAATGAAACGGAAATGTGTTTAAATTATACAAACTTGCATATATAACATTATTTTAAGAGCTGAACACTGACATATTTTTCACCATTTTGCTAAAGGACGGAATACTAGTATTAGACAGAACGTTACAGACTCTTTTAAAGGTTAATTGATTTTGCTTGATTGAAAATTATGGACTACACACAAAATTTTAATTTTTCTAATTATTTTTTCGAGCGTGTTAAAGTAGGTTTTGCTAAATTTAATATATATTTCTTTGTACAATACTTGGAATAGATACTGGATGTCATAACTCAATCTATTTTGTTTATGTATGTCATAAATCTTTTATTTTGCTTATGAAATAAAGCTTTCCTTTTATTATTTACTATTATGTACCCCCAACTAACACATTAAAGAAAGCTGCTTTTCTAATAGTGTACACTTTACTAATAATGTACATTTACGAAAACACAAATAGTTATTCCACTAGTATTGTTTTTCCAGTTTTGAAGAAAACTTGTAGTATAGTAATACTATACCATCTATTTATGTTCTGCATAATTCAGACTTAATCTTTTGGTACATCTTAGTAGCTTAAGAAAGCATGTTTCAGCTTCCAAAGCACTGTTTTATAGAAATAATTCCATTTCTATGTTATTTTTGAAGAGGTATTAAAAACTGATATGTCAGTGAACAGTTTTAACTACTTCATTTGAAAAATGATTTCTACTAAAAATATACGAATGAAGAAAAAGCGAAATAGAACATTTTCTATCTATGTAACCAACGAAACCAATTACGAAAAGAATTTATTTTAATAAAATTACTAACTTTTATTGCTGTAAATTTCTGCTGTTTAAAAATGTTATTGCTTTTTGCGTGTTATTGTAATATTGCGTATTGTTTTATGTATTTAGTTATTTATCAGGCACGTAACCAGGGATATACTGGCTCACCCCAGGCATCCCCTTCGTCGTCTAATTAAGACCAAAAATAGAGCAATTAAAAAAAATCTGGTGCATAAAATTAAAATTTATTTATTTATTTATTTTTTAAAACCAGAAACAGTTTTTAAAAACTTTTTAAAAATCTCGTGTGATTAGCAAGAATTTTACGCGAAGCTCAAAGGCTTTGTTCTTACTTGTAAAGAATGTAAGACCTAAGAATAACAATGCATAAATCCGACATAGTTAGAAAAGTACACTACGAAAAAAAGAAAAAAGGACAGTTCTGTATCTCCTGTTCTACTGGACCTATTGACGAAATTCGACTTGCGCTATTCATGTCCCTAAAGTGCGACTTAGGATACGTATTAGATTTATATATTGTAAAGGGGTCGTTTTAGATAGGGTCATAGAAGAGTCCGATATAGTGTAACAAATATTTATTAACAGGTTTAAGTTACACACGGACATTACATTGAACTTCAAGAAAAAATTACAGAGCAAACAGTCTGGAACAACCTATCAAGTGGGACCTTGGCTTTTACTGAAGTACTTCTCTGGCTACTCACCAGAGGGCAGCCTTGTTGTCACAGATAGTCCAACAGTTTATGTTAAAGGATTGGTTACAATATAGCATTGTTTTAGTGTAGGTATTTTTGACACAAATTGGACTTTTTCTGAAATGACATGCCACTTTTTTTTTTCATATTTCGATTGTACGACTTAAATTATGCCAAACTGCCAAGTTTTGTAAAAATCGCACGAGTAGTTTTTAAAAAATTAGCTCTCAAAATTTTAGCTCTTCAATGCTGATTGAATTTGATATATATTTATGTCTTTTTCTTAATTTACTTGATTTCTTCTTCTAGAATTCGAAATTTAGGCTTAATCTAAATAAAATTCGCACATTTTTAGTCCAAAGGGATTTGAATCCCGAAGGACTATTAGTTTCGTTTTGGCATTTTGCGTCGGACTCATAAATGTCGGTTCACTTTTCAAACTGTTGCCACAAAATGTTAGAGTCCTGCATTATATTTGAAGAAATTAAATAATGAAAAATCTGCATAATGTATGTATATTTCTCGTATTGTGATAAAACAACGGTACATAGAGTCATCGAATTTTGAATAACGTAATGCTCCAACGAATATGAGCACGTGGAAGACCAAATTTGAAATTTGACATTTGTTTTATGATCGATTTCCTATTTTTTAAAACTTTGACGAATTTTTGATTAACAAACTCAAGGATTTCAAAGCGAGCAATGGCAACGTTGTGCAGAAAAAACATTTTTATCTCCAGCGCGTGAGTCTCTGTATCGCCCCTTTGGACGTAATTTAAAATCTGAAACATTTCAGATTTTTTATTATATTATTTTTTTTAAAAATTTGTATTTTAAATGTTTTTTAATAAATTTTTTTCGAAAAATTTTTTGTATTATAAACTATAAAAGTTTTAACATCATCTTAAAGTGGAAGTATTTCTAAGCATATCTGCAAAAAATTAGAGTTTTTATTCAAAATTTCCTAAGATATATGTAAATTTACATTTTGGCGCCTTTTGAATTATGGTGTATTTAATATAAGCGATAATAGCGAAAATGTGGTTTACGCACTTCATTAAAATTATTTGAAAGAATGAACGATGGACCATTTTTTCTCTCGTGCATCAAAGAAAAAAAAAATTAAAGTAAGTAGATTACTCTAAATTAAGAATTCCGCCAAGTGATTTATTCTTGGCGCAAACTGAAAAACATTCGCCAAGATAAATTTTTGAATTTCTCCATGAATTTCTCACCAAAGAGTCGTAGAATCGAAATATGGAAAAAAATTTATATGTTATTTCAGAAAAGGTCCGATTTTGTATTAAAATACTTAGAATAATGCTGCGTATAAATCTAATATATATCCTAAGTCGCGCCTTCGGGACATGAAAAACGCAATTTGAACTTCGTCAATCAACCCAGTAGAAGTGGAGATAAAGAACTGTCCCCCTTTCTTTTCCCGCAGTGTACCTTTACTTAGTTATGGCTTTTAAGATTAACTTAGCTAACGCCTTTGGGAAATCGGTGCCCTAGAGCAGGGATTTTTAAACTGTTTTCAGTCGCGACCCCTTTTTATGACTGAAATTTTTTTCGCGACCACAGGACTCCATAATATTTGCGAAAATTTTGTGAGATCTCATAACCATTGTCCAAATCCGTCACACGCGTGAGTGAAACCGTCAATTTTTTTCACTTGTACTCTAATATACTATTGCAGTTTTAGGTCATTAACTTTAATTTCTAATTTTAAGACATAGAACAATATGAAAATTTTAAATAAGTAAAAGATGAAATGACAGCGTCACTTGTAAAGCAAGTAAAATGAACGTTTATATTATAAAAAGATTGCGTCGAAACTTTTTCTTCCCCCTTTTTTTGTCTGTATTGTCTTCATCTGTTTTCAGATATATTGTGTAAAAATATTTGGTAATTGTAAAATTATTATAGTAAGTTAAAGAAATATCAAAACTGCTAAAATTTTTAAGAGACCCCCATTTTAAGAAACTCTGCTGTAGAGGATATCTCGTATGCTTGGAGCAGACCCTGAGCCATGTCAAAACTTAAATCAACAAGTGCTCAACAGACATAAGTAAGGCTAATCAAAATATTTACCGTTGACTTCAATCATCCTTATAAAAAATCTGCATCTGTCTGCAACAGAACTTCCAGCTTAAAAAACTCAACGAGAAGCCTTTAGAAATTAACGACGAACTTAACGCTTTCATCAAATTCCTTGTTTCAAGCTTCATTTAACAACATAAACAATCAGCACTAACGTTATTATTGCTGGCATTAAAACGCGAGGTACAAAATACTGATACTTAAAAAAAGTCTTCTTGACAGGGCTATCTGTTGATTGCTCTATCTTCTTTTACTGTAATAAATTTGCACATTTCTGGAAAGAAGTGAATCGAGAACGAGAGTGGAAAGGACAGCGTAGGTTTAATGAAATTGTTGATTCGGGCTTGAAATGAAACCTCGCAGTTATTTTAGTAACATTATCTAAGATGAGAATGTAGTAGATTGCATCAAACCATATTTACCTGGGTAGATATGCCTTTTTGAAGATCTGTTAATGCAAAGTAGCTAATAGTTAGGATTGTAAATGAAATCAGAAACAAGAAAACGTCTGCAATCATTCGCTTTCGCCAATGAAAATCAAATCTAATTTAAGCATTTGCGATCAACTGTTTTAGCTTCTTGTATACATAATTGCAATAACCTAATATGCTTAGTTAATTTGCTTGAATGAGCATTTTTTAAATCCCAAATGTTTCAAGCATTTGAGCTGTTTTTAAAAACATTTATTTCGATTCTTATTTCAATTTCTCGGTTAATAATTTTCTGAGAAATTATATTTTACTTTACAGGATTAAATTAAAGTGCAGGCATTGTTCAACTTAGCCTGAAACAATCTTTCTTTCACGCATTAATAAGTTATACATTTATTTCAGTCTATAATACAAGTTACGAATAATATGCCGTCCAACCAGGATAGTGGCTATGGACTCTGACTGCCGTACCAAAGGGTCCGGCTTCGAATCCCGGAGAAGGCAGGGATGTTTGTAAATGTTCAGTGTTTGTGCGACTTGGAGGCACTCAAACTATGCGACGAGCCGAAAGTCCTCTTGAATAGCTGGTGATATGGGGAAGAGGGGTGGGAGACCCTCGGAGTCTCTTCCTGGGGCGCTCTTTATTAAAATTGGGTGTAAGACTGAGCAAAGCCGTACTGTACTGTCAACTATATGGTGCCCAAGGGCGCTTGGCAATGATGGCAGGCACAATCTTGCCTCCTTGCCACGGTGAATTTCGTGGGCTTGTTTTGTTATCAAACAATCAGCAAACGTCAGAAAACGAACCTTTAAAAGAAAACGAACCTTTATTTTGTCATTGCTTTCATAAAAAAGTTTGAAACATATTTTACATCATAAGTTGATAAATAAATATGTTTTTAATCTTCTGTAATGTATCGATACCGAAATTTTTTATTCTGCTTCTTTGCCCATTAAGGCGATCATTTTGTTATCTATTTTTAAGATTGCAAGTTAATTTTTTTTTTAACTTTTAAATGATTTATTCCTCTCTCAGAAAAACCACTATGTAGAGAAAATTTTAGGATGCACTGAGAAAAATGGAAAACGTTATGTCATCGTCAAATGGTAAATATATTTTGCACTTATTGTAATTTATTTTTTTTTTTCATCTCCTTAATCGTAATTCAAAATCTGTCATAATAATGAAATTCCAAAATTTTTCATTGTAATATGACGGGATAATTAAAAACTCATCACGAGTAAAGAATATAAAGTAGGTCGTTTCAATTTTATTCGGTAAACTTTCTAAAAGTATTCGCAATTATTACTGAATAAACTGGGTAAAACATAACTTGAATTTTAAATACGGGCTACCACTGGTACAGCTAAGTGAACTGAAATATCTTGGTGCCAAATATTTAATCCAGAAATAAGTTATTGAATCTTAAAATGTACTCTGAAGTCAAAAATATATGAATGCAAACGTGACTAATTAATCCTGCATTTTATAAGTATATTGTAGCATTAAAAACTGTATTATAAATATAAATACTCTTACCTGTTACCTATTAACTATTAACTTAACCTTTTAACTGTACTATACATATAAATACTCTTTATATATTTTCTATATATTTAAAAGCAATGGTGAAATAAACTATATAAAAATCTTTTTTAATTTACTTTAATTAGTCTTTTTTAAAACATAATTTAAAAAAAAAAATTTAAACTGCCAACTCAGCCGATTCTTCATCTTATCTACCTCTTCCAATCACCAAATCTTTCGGTGTGAAATTTTTCAGCCATTTTTAAGAAAAACGCCTCTTAGCAATAAATAAAATTCATTGAATTAATAAAATTTAAATTTCTTAAACTCCATTTTCCAGACCTAAAGATATTTAGCATGACTTTTCTTATCAAATTTTATTTGATTTGAATTATTTTAATCTACTGTACGTTACTTAATCTACTGTACATTCGTAGAACTATTTATAAAACTTCAATGTTTAGTCAGTTAATATTTGTATTTAATTGTGTTTTATATCAGTATACGGCATACTGCTAAACTTATCCACACAATAGTACGTAGATTAATTATTAATTATTTTTTTATCGTATTTAAATACTTTAAAGTACCAATAAATAAAAGCTTTCCTCCCCTACTCAGGGATTTCTCAATATAAAATTGTAAAGAAAATTACAAATTACTCGGACTATACAATTTAGGACATATAATTAAATACGGGGTGGTCATAAAATAACTTCCCCGATATATGAAACCCTAGCGACCTCTCCGCTCAACCAATCCAAATTGAAATTTCAGATATTTTTATTTGAAGGTACACGTTCTAGATTGTGATGATTTAAAACAATAGAGCTCTCACGGCTACGGGTAAGTGGAAAACTTTCAAATGGCAACACCCACTTTCTTCTTGCGCGCATTGATCAGCGCATTAAAAAATTATAAATGGCATTAGAGCGATACATATTTGATAAAAATTTTCAGCTTAAAACGTTTGCGAAGAAAAACATTGTAAAGAATCAATGACAACAGAAGAGAAGAGAGAAAAAATTTTTATTGGAATTACAAGTTTTTCAACGTGCCCACTTTCGCAGACGAAAACTCATTGCATGCGGAAGATTGTTGACAATCATGACGAATGTTACATCGCAAGAGGAATAGCTTCACGTTTTATGGCATCTTTCAGTATGACAAATCTCGAGAATTTGATGCATACACCTTAGATTTCAAATAACCCACAGCCAGGAATTCATCGGAATGAGGTTGAGGAATCGCGATGGCCACGAAACTGCGAAGTTACGGGAGATGACTCTATCTTGAAATGTTGCACGCAGTAGAAACTTGTAATTCCATTTTTTTTTTTTTTTTTTTTTTTTTTTTCTCTTTCTGCTTATATAATGCTCTTTTTTGCAAATGTGTTATGCTGTTATTTTCGTTATACGTATATCATTCCAATGCCATTTTTGGTTCTTAAATGCTCCGACCAGTTTGCGCAGCAAATAGTTGGGTGTTGCCACTTGAGAAATTCGAAATTTTTTCATTGTGACCGTAGCCATGGGAACTGTATGGTTTTAAATAATCGCAATCTCGAGTACCTACCTTCAAATACCAATATTTAAAATTTCTTTTCGATTGGTTGAGCGGACAGGTCGCTAAGATTCATTTATTTGGGAAATTTTTTTATGTTCATTTATTTTTTTATTATATTTAACATCAGAATCGCATTATAAATAAAACAATAACCTGAATCATGCATTATAAAATGAATTTAAGTCACTTTAAAGATCTTTTGACTTAGTGTCGCAGCAAAGGGCGAAACCCCCCCCCCCTGGGTGTTCCCTGTTTTCGGGTGAAAACTTCTCGGTTTTTCAGATTTTAGTTTTGGAAGCTATAGTTAAATGTTCTAATAAGTAAAAAAAAATTTTTTTAATAATATTCTTGATCAGACTAAAATTTTGGGTTGCTAACAATGGCAGATTTTAAATCAAATTATCAAAGAGAAATTTAAATGAACTGAGCGCTGTCATTGTCATATAGTATTTCGTTTCCGTATTTATTACCTTATTGTCCTTTCAAATTATGGTAATATCCTAATACCTTTTGTATATGAGCTCCTATTGATTTTATTTTTAGTCACCTATAACAAAAAAAAATTATGATAGATTAAAAAACAGTATTTTAATAAAACTTTCCAACTTAGAATTTTTTAAGTACTTTTATTATAATTTTCTTTCTAGTGTACAAAATGCGAGAAAATAATAAATAAATAAAATCACTGTTTCTGAATACAGAAAAGGTATACCAAATCTGACATTATTACATTCACTTCATCTACTTTTGTATGATTCAGAAATCTGGTATCATCATTACAAAAATAATGGAATTCCTAACAATGAAAGATTAAATCTTGATATAAAATCCATCCTTGTTAGCAATTGCAGGAAAGCTAAAAATTATTTAGTAGTTTTTGAAAAATCCCGAAATTCGACAAATTAAATAAAAATTTTGAAAGATTATTTTTCGATTTATCCAATATATAGAGATCAAAATTCTGCAAAATTAGTTTGGTTATTAAACAAGGATTTCTAAGAAAAACTCAATATTAAATATGAAAAATCCATATAAAATTTTTAAAAATCTATAGCATTGCGTTATGATCGCAAATATATTAAGTGTGAAAATTTTCAGGAAAATTGAGTGGGTAGGAGTCAAAAATTAATTTCGAGATTCGATCCAAGTAGACAGAGACCAAGTGAAATAAAATTGTGTACAAATTCACTTTTATATCTTTATTGAAACATATTGTTGCGTGCTTACGGGTTCGTTATGAAATGAATGCACAAGTCCGATGAAAAATGAACAAAAATTTATTATTATCACAACAAAAATGCTTAAATTTTCTCAAATTATCATGCAGTATTACAATATCTCACAGCAGTTATCTTTTAACTACTCAAATGTCCAATAGAACGTAATTCAAAACAGCTAAAGAACGCTAATCCGCGAATTCGCTACAATCAACAAGAGCAGTTTTCTAAACAACAACAAACTAAGCAACTACTACGAACTGAGATGTTTTCCTCCTTTTATAAGATTTTAAAAATCACGCGCTAGAATTTTCCAGTACTTTCTCGAAATCAAAAAGAGATATTTATTTATTTAATGCACGCGCTTTTGTATTTTCAATATTCCGGCTTAGCTTTCTTTTAATATTCGTCACGCGCTGCACTGCGCGAGAAATAAAACCATTTAATTTATAATTGAACTAACATTAGCTTTTTAAATACCAAATTCGTAACACTGCCCCCTTCCCAAGGACTGCACGTCCCGGGCAGTACAATCCCTGGACAGGAAGCCAAACTTACAACTGTGACGTAAATGCATTAATAAGCATTACATTACAATAATAAACAACATTAAAAATAAATGCAATAGATAACTTAAACAAATGCTATCAAATACAAATCAAATACTAAATGCAAATCAAATACTAAATACAAATCAAATACTAAATACAAATCAAATCAAATACACATTTAAAAACAAAAAGGACCATGGTCTTACACTATTTACAATTATTTATATTATGTACTATGGCCATAGTAATGAGCTAACCTGTCGTAATGAACGACTTTAGGTTTAGAGTTCGAAGACTTACGAATCCTAATCACGACGTCATTCAGCCTGTTTAGGACTGTGTACGGGCCATCCCAAGGTGACTGTAATTTCGGACAAAGTCCTTTCCGTCGAGTCGGATTCCACAACCCCACCTTGTCTCCTTCGTGGAATTGATGTTCAGTAGCTCTTGTGTCGTATCGTGTCTTCATCTTCTCCGTCGTCCAAGTTGACTCGCTCTCGTGCAAAGTTGTGCATCACTTCAAACCGGGCCTGGAGATCTTGAATATATGCCTCAGGCGATGAAGGAGCATCCGGAGGGCGACCAAACAAGAGATCACAAGGCAGACGAAGGTCACGACCGAAGAGCATCTGTGATGGAGAATAGCCGGTAGTCTCGTGGACAGCACTGCGGTAAGCCAGTAAAAAGAGTGGTAATTTCTTGTCCCAGTCCTGTTGGTTTCTGGAAACCACTAATGAGAGGTTATTAAGGATGGTTCGATTGAACCTCTCTACCATGCCGTCCGACTGGGAATGTAATGGCGTCGTTTGAGTTTTGTCAATGCCGAGTAGTTTGCATAGTTCTTTGATTACTGCCGTAGCAAAATTCCTTCCCTGATCGGAATGTAACTGAAGAGGCACTCCGAACCTGAAAATCCAGTGCTGTATCATTACCTCAGCTACTGTGACAGCCTCTTGATCAGGAACAGGGTACGCTTCAGGCCACTTGGTGAAGTAATCAATGACAACGAGTATGTATTTGTTGCCATAGGCAGTTCGTGGCAGAGGTCCCAAGATGTCAAAGGCGATACGATCAAAAGGCGCCCCTACGTTGTAACGTTGCAGCTTGCCTCGGCTGCGTCTCTTCGGTCCTTTCCGACCTGCACAGGCATCGCAGGATCGGCACCACTTTTGCACGTCATCCTTTGCATTATTCCAGTAAAAGCGCTCACGAACTCTGTAAGGTCTTCATTATTCCAAAGTGACC